CTGCCTTAGCTTCCCAAGCAGCTGGGAGGTATAGGTGTGCACAACCATACTTGGCTATGTTTGTGCGTGCGTATTTTAGTAGACAGGGTTTCAACATGTTACCCAGGCCGGTCTTGAACTCCTGAGTTTAAGTGATCTGCGCCTCGGCCTCCCAAAGTGCTGAGATTACAGGCATGAACCACCACATCAGGCCAAAGAAGATCTTAAGGCTCTTCCAGAATCCTCTCTAGAGCTTCTCAAGCTTTCCAGGAATAAGTAACTCTGGGGAAAGGAGGGGTAGAGCTCATAAATACACTAAATACACCCTAAGCTTTCTGGAAAGAATCCCCTGGGACACTTGTTAAATATGCGCTTCACCAGATTTCTCCTCCGGAAACTGACTCATGCAGAAGGATGAAAGACCAGAAATCTGCATTTTAACAAGAGTCCAAGATGACTCTGCCTGCAACTCTCTTCCTAAGATGCTTGCCCCTGCTCCTGCATGCACCACCTTCTTCCAGGCAGTGTGTGTGTGTGTGCGCGCGCGTGTGTGTGTGTGGTCTTCCTGCTTGCCCCCCCACCACACACAATCTGTCCCCTTTGAAAGCACCCTTCTTTTTCACCTATTCAAAGCAAACTGTTTCTTGACAGATTCAGCCACACTGATTTCTCTTTCTTCTCAACTCCAGCTGCAATTAGTCATGTTGCCTTTTCATGTACTATTCAATAAAGCTTGGGGATAAATTGCCATCAATTAATCTTATTTATTTGTTCTAGATAAAAGTCTAGTGTTGAGATAGCAAGCAAGGTTAAATGATTTGCAAATGTTAATGGAAGTATGTGGAATGTGAATCTGGAGCCAGTTATTAACACCAGAGGCACCCCCCGACCCCCCTTCACCACATTGAAACTGTTGCCATTGAATGCTACAGAAAAATCATACATTAGTTTTCCCATAGGAAAGCAATTTATTCCATAGCAGCTTGATAATTACAAGCTTTCCCATTTCTTCTCTCTCATAAGCAGTTTACTGGCATAAAGGACATATTAAATAAAGCTGCCTTCTCAAATGAGCTGGTGGCATTTGCCTTTAAAATTGTACCATGAAAAAAGCAAATGTTCTAATGGTGGAGAAACAGTTCAGCCAACTCTTCATTCTCTGAGGAGGAGGGATGTGGAGGATAGCATTTATAAACCCACGGATGACTTCCAACTGTGTTTCATCCAGTACAGTAACTGCGGCAACTGCTACCTCTTATGGGAGATGCTATCCTTGCTTGAGAAAAGGAAGCCAAACACTGAGATCATCCCCAAGGTCACCTTTTAATTCTAACAATCTGGAATTTGGTAACTCCAAAGGGACTGTACTTTTCTTCCAAATAACCACCCATTGCCAAGAGGCATAAGTTATGTGGGAACTGATTGGCAAATGTGGACAGATGTTGGGACTCACTACTCACTAATATAAAGCACTGGAGGTGAGAGAAGCTTTCAGCCCCTTCAATGTCTCTCTCACATATGGGTGCCAGATGTCCAAATTTGGGGGCATAGATGAACAAACCAGAGTTATTATTTTGTCATTTCATTTAGTTATGTGGAATCCAAGGCACATCATAAATGACTTAATAGGTCTACAGTAGGATCCAAGAATCTGCATTTTTATTTTTATTATTTTTAAAATATTTTTTTAAAATCAATGAAACCTTTTAAATTGCCCCGGCTGGCCTGGAACGCATAGCCTGGCCTCCTCAAGCACCAGGACAATTGGCCTGAACCACTGCAGGTCCCAGAGTCTGCATTTTTAAAAAAGCACTCAATAGGCTGGGCCCAATGGCTCATGCCTATAATCCCAGAACTTTGGGAAGCCAAGGCAGGTGAATCACCTGAGCTGAGAAGTTCAAGCTGAGCCTGGGTAACACATTGAAATCCCATCTCTACTAAAAATACAAAAATTAGCCGGGCACAGTGGTGTGTGCCTGTAGTCATAGCTACTCAGGAGGCTGAGACAGGAGAATTGCTTGAGCCTGGGAAGAGGTTGCAGTGGGCAGAGATGGCAACATTGCACTCCAGCCTGGGTGACAGTGTGAGAGATCTTGTTTCAAAAAAAAAAAAAAAAAAAAAAAAAAATAGAATTAAAGAGCACTTAATGCTGGTTCTGAAGCACTTTGGAAAACAATGTCCATTTTGCAAAGTGCCTCTTCTCTCACTCTTCTCATCTGTGTCCCATGCCTTTTCACATTTACTCCCGCTTTTCCCAAACAAAATGCTTTAATCTCTTCCAATCCTAACCATGCTTCAAGATCCAGCTGAAATGCCACCCACTTCTAGAAGCCTAAAAAGGACTCCTGCTTTCCTGCACCCTTGTGCCGTGTGCTAGTCGAGAGAATAAAAGGTGTTTCATTTCATTAAACAGCCATTTCTTTGTGCAAATCTCATCTCTTACTGGGCAGTAAACTCCTCAGGGACTGACTAAAGCTCATGTTCGTTTTACCTCCTGTAATAAAGCAACTACGTTGTGTGAGACATTCTGTAAAGATCTGGAATGACTGAACAAGCAATGAATGAATCAATGCATGCACGTGCTTCTTCCAACAAGCTGCTGAAGCTAAAACTGCATGAAACAGGAAAATTTAGCAACTGCCTACAAAAGTTTAAGTACCATAAAGTCCTTCAACTTCCTTATCTGTAAAAGGAGGGGATTTCAGGGGATTTCTTAAAATAAGTTCATTAAATACTTTCTTGGATCAAAAGCCCAACATTCCAATCTGACCTGATTATTTATTACTCAGATAACACAGCAATCTCTGTTTTACACAAGCTAACTGTATTCCCACAACCGGTCTATTTTTAAAATTTTATAGCGACTGGGTCTCACTCTATTGCCCAGGCTGGTCTCCAACTCCTGGGTTTAAGCAACCTCCTGCCTCAGCCTCTCAAAATGTTGGGATTTACAGGTGTGAGCATCCGTGCTCGGGCAACCACTTTTGTTAATTAAGGAAAGCTACATTTATCCTATTCTTTCTACTGCTCAATTTGTCTTTCTTAAATTAATCCAAAAACTTTACTAGCAAAATGTAGTTATACTCTGGAATGGATATACAAATGTCTTAAATAGCAATAATCTAACTTGAAGGCAACCAAAATATACCTTAAAAAATGTGTTATGGCAGGGCACGGAGGCTCACGCCTGTAATCCTAGCACTTTGGGAGGCCAAGGCAGGCAGATCTCGAGGTTAGAAGTTCGAGACCAGCCTGGTCAACATAGTGAAAAATCCATCTCTACTAAAAATACAAAAAATTAGCCGTGCATGATGCGGGGTGCCTGTAGTCCCAGCTACTCGGGAGGCTGAGGCAGGAGAATCACTTGAACCCAGGAGGCCGAGGTTGCAGTGAGCCGAGACTCACCATTGCACTCCAGCCTAAGCGACAGAGAGACTCCGTCTCAAAAATAAATAAATAAAAACCAATAAAATTAAATTTAAAAACGTGTTATGAATTGCCAGTTTGAAAGAAAAAATTTATCAATTTTAAAAGTACAATTAATCTGTGGCCATGGTAACGTGTGCCCAGGCAGAAATCGAGGAGGCAAAAAAGGAAAACTCAGGGTAGTTACTATGACGTATAAAAACAGCTCTTGGAGAAACAAAGGCCACACTTTTACAAGATCTTAGGTACACAGGACAAAATGGTGTTAAGTATCAAGAGTGGAAGGCTCCAAAAAAAAAAAAAAAATCCAAAGAAACGTAAAACGAATCAATGTGTTATTATCACGACTTAAAAAATGTAATATCTAGACCATGCAAGCCATGAGCAAACAAACATCATTTAGATTTTTTTTTCCATAAAAATTTCCGTTAAGTCGAGCAATGAAAAGTGTAACCAACATAGTAACTCGCGGCCTCGGAAGGGGGAAACTTAACGTAGGTCGAGAGCAAGAAATCCTCAAAGCACGGCCTCCAAGGATCAAGCAGGAACCTGAATCCTGTCTCCCACGTCTTACCAGTCTTGATACAAACCCCAGGCAAGTCGGGGGACAGAGAAAGAGGAAAAAGGGAACAGAGAAGGTTGCTCCGGGAAAGGACCCACTTCCAGGCCAGACCCCACGACCAGCAGCCCGGAGCTTCCCATTCATTCCGCGCTGTTTCCAGGTAGCGGCCACGCGTTGGTGGCGGTGGCGTTCTCCACCCGGAACGGCGGTGCACTCACCTGTTCGGGAACACGACCTCACGGCGCCCGAGGCCGCCGCCAGCAGCCGGGGAGATGCGGGCCTAGGGGCAGCCGCCGGCGGGGAAGACAGGCGGCGCAGCCCGGGAGCGGGCAGGCGGCGCAGGCCGGGCGCGTCCCTCTGCAGCAGGGCCGAGCAAAGCCGCCGCGGGCTCTGAAACATGCCGGGCGCCACCGCCACCACCGCGGCCCCTCGAGCGCCCGAGGAGCGGAGCCCGGCTGGGGGCCAAGGGCGGCGAGTCGAGCCGACAGTCTGGGCAGTCTGGGCGGATGCTCCCAGGCTCCTTCTCGCGCGGCGCAGGTCCTGGGGAAATTCCGGGCACCCGAGCCCGAGAGGGAGGCGCACGAGCGCGGCGTCTGCACACTCTGCGGTGCGATCTGGAGAGAGCTGCAGGGCGCTCGGCAAGCGCTGCGCGCTGACAAAGCGGGCGCTACCAAGATGCAGCTGGAGGGGGATCAGCGGGACCCTGCTACCGCACGGCCACGCCTGGCTCCCTCGACCCGGGGTAATCCTATTTTAAAAGGAAGGAAGACTTAGACTGATCTATGGGTTAGAAACCCTAGGAGGTCTAAAGAAAGAGGTATCCTTTGAAGCGGTTATGAAGTAATAAGAGTCCCCTTCGGCTAGCCGGCATGGAAGCGTCCACCGGCTGGGAATCCCGAGACAGTTCCAGGGCTGTGGCCCAGGGGACACGTGTCTGTCCGAGTGGCAGACGGCGTCCGTGTGTGCCTGCGCAAGTCTGTGTGGATACAGCAAAAGATGTTATATTCAGGCAAAGGGGGTAGAAGGTGGCAAGGGAAATCAGAAAGCTCTACAAGGTAGACTGAGATCAGTGGCACAAGATGCCAAAGATTGGCGATATAGATGACAACATGCCCGGGATCTCTAGAAGCTTCGTTAGGATTGGCATTTGACTTGGCCTATGACGTGAAGGTCTAGAATTTACACACGTGAAACTTTGGAGGGGGTGGTGGTGGTGAGTTGTAAATGAGGGTGTATGCGGGGAAGCAACACTTAGTCCTGGAAGCTAAGGAGTAAGAGGACAGATGTGTAGATATGTTGTACTGTAGACGGAAGCGGATTATAGTAGGCTTAATTCGGTAGATAACTGCGAGCCGTTGACGTTTTGTAAACTGGACAAGGATATGGGCAGGGCTGTTTAACTGGAAATCACTTGTCTCTGGTTCGTGAAAAGACAGAAAGCGAATCAGGTGAAGCAAGAGATACTGTAGACCTGCACCAGGTTACTATTACTGGAAAAGAATGGATGGAAAAAACATACCAGATAGGCTGGTCAGGAAATGATGACTAATTAGGAATGGAAATGGGATGAGTGGGAGGGAAAACCCAAGACTGGATTCTTCTCTGAACGATTCATGAGCTAAAAATGTATTCTGGCTGGGCACGGTGGCTCACGCCTGTAATCCCAGCACTTTGGGAGGCCGAGGCGGGCGGATCATAAGGTCAAGAGATAGAGACCATCCTGGCCATGGTGAAACCCCGTCTCTACTAAAAATACAAAAATTAGCTGGGCATAGTGGCACGTGCCTGTGGTTCCAGCTACTCGGGAGGCTGAGGTGAAAGAATCGCTTGAACCCAGTAGGCGGAGGTTGCAGTGAGCCGAGATTGCGCCACTGCACTCCAGCCTGGCGACAGAGCAAGACTCCGTCTCAAAAAAAAAAAAAAAAAAGTATTCTATTGGTTTTCCCATGATTTTGCTGATTCCCCTGTGTTGTGGAATTACAAGCCTTTCATCACAAGAATATTCTAAATATTTTTCAGACTTAGGTTATTTATCTAACACCTGGAGGGTATGGACAGATCAGTTGGCACAAGTTGATTACAACTTCTGGCAGACAAGCTTCTTGGAAGTCATTAAAGCCTCAGTTTCAGTTTCTTTATCTATAAAGCATAGAATCGCCGGGCGCGGTGGCTCACGCCTGTAATCTTAGCACTTTGGGAGGCGGAGGTGGGTGGATCACCTGAGGTCAGGAGTTCAAGACCAGCCTGGCCATCATGGTGAAACCCAATCTTAAAAAACAAAACCAAACAAAAAACAAAACACCCCCCCCCCATAGAATCATACCTTAATCATTAGATGAAATAAAAGGTGATAATATTGTGACTGGGCGGGGTGGCTCGTGCCTGTAATCCCAGCACTTTGGGAGGCCGAGGGGGGCGGATTATGAGGTCAGGAGTTGGAGATCAGCCTGACCAACGAGATGAAAACCCGTCTCTACTAAAAAGAAAAAAATTTTGCCGGGTGTGGTGGCGCCCGCCTGTAATCCCAGCTACTCTCAGGATGCTGAGACAGGAAAATCGCTTGAACTCGGGAGGCAGAGGTTGCAGTGAGCCAAGATCGTGCCACTGCACTCCAGCCTGGGAAAGAGGGAAACTCCATCTCAAAAAAAAAAAAAAAAAAAAAAGGTGATAATAAGCCACTCTAGGCACGCTGCCTATGGGGTAGCCCTGCTTCACAAGGAGCAGTAGTTGTAAAAAGAACATTTTTTTAAAAGGTGATAAAATTAGCCTATAAAAAGTTTTTTGCAAATATAGCAATGCTGATTTTGAATCTAGGTGGTGGGTATACATGGGTATAGAGACTATGGCAAAAATGTTCCCTTTGCCTTCTGAAGTTCGCTGAAAAATCAACTCACAAAAGGCAGATTAATGGGAGGAGAAAAGGCACATACATTCATTAACATTTGCTCAGGGAGAATCACACAGTGATTTCCCACACACAACGGGGTTCAGAAGCTTGTCTATCATCCTGGAAAACAGATTTGGGGAGAGGGGAGCTGAGGCATTCTGTTGAGGGGATAAATAGGGAAAAGTGGATGGATCAGGGCACAGGGATGAACTTGCACCAAGGGGTCTGTTCAGGTGATTATATTTTTGGTCTTACAGGGAGGGAAGGAAAAACAAGTTGTTCCTTTTGGTGAGTCTGGATTGTAGCCAGATAAAGGAGCTTCATCTTCCTCTTGTGCTTTGGGAGAGATGGTACAGGACAGTGAGGTCAGAGAGACCTCGAGGCTTCAGTTCATTCAGCAAGTCAAAGCCCCATATTTTGGGGTATCGGTTTCTGAGTCCCGGCATGAGTGTTCACTTACAATTATTTCCCCCCCAAATATTTGGAGAGTTTCATAATAAAATATTGGGGAGGGCCAGTGCAGTAGCACAGGCCTGTAATCCCAACACTCTGGGAGACCAAGGTGGGTGGATCACCTGAGGTTGAGAGTTCGAGACCAGCCTGACCAACATGGAGAAACCCCATCTCTATTAACAGTACAAAAAAAAATTAGCCAGGTGTGGTGTTGCATGCCTGTAATTTTAGCTACTCCGGAGGCTGGGGCAGGAGAATTGCTACTCAGCAGGCGGAGTTTGTAGTGAGCCAAGACTGCACCTTTGCACTCTAGCCTGGGCAACAAGAGCAAAACTCCGTCTCAGAAAAAAAAAACAAACTATCACGATACTGGTGGGAGTGTCTTTTATCATGCTAATGCATTACAATTAGTACACTATGAGCAGTGAGGACAACCAGAGGTCACCTTCATCACTGTCTTGGCTGTGGTGGGTTTTGGCTGGTTTCTTTTTTTTTTCTTTTCTCTTTCTTTTTTTTTAAAGATGGAGTCTCCCTCTGTCACCCAGGCTGTAGTGCAAAGGCGCCATCTTGGCTCATTGCATCCTCTGCCTCCTGGGGTCAAGCGATTCTCCTGCCTCAGCCTTCTGAGTAGCTGGGACTACAGGCACGTGCCACCACATTCAACTAAATTTGTAGTAGAGATGTGGTTTCATTATATTAGCCAGGCTGGTCTCATACTCCTGACCTTGTGATTTGTCCACCTTGGCCTCCCAAAGTGTTGGGATTACAGACGTGAGCCAAGGCACTCGGCTGGCTGGTTTCTTTATCAAATCCTCTTTCATCAGCTGATCTATATCTTGTGCCGACCTCCTATCTCATCCTGTGTTAGAAACCCCTAACCTCCTGACAATGCAGCCCAGTAGGTCTCAGCCTCCATTCAAGATGGAGTTGCTCTGGTTCCAGCACCTCTGACATAAATACCTAATTGCCTAGAGTCAGGAGAGGCTTTTTGAAAAAGTGACTGCCAAGTGGAGAGGTATCACAGAGGATATCCACAGAGAAGAGAACACTAAGGCAAGGAAAGAAGGTGTGTTCCAGGAACAGCATGTACTACAATTTGATAAGGGTTGAATGTGGGGTGCTCACAGGGAGTGGCAGCAGATGAGGTGGAAGCCGTGGGCAAGAACCCAAGGTGACAGCTTTGAGAGGAGTTTGGACTTTATCCTGAAGGTTCTGTGGACCCACTGAAAGGCTAAACAGACAGGTTGTACTAACACAATTGCATTCTTGAAGGATTATTGGATCATTCTACCAGCAGTGTTGAAATGGATAAGGACAGTGACGATGAGGAAGAGTGTATACAGGTTCAGAAACTCTGGAGATGGGGCAGGGTATGTATTGGTTATTAGTTCATTTTTTATTAAATTTTTTGAGAGGTTTCTTTTTGTCATCTAGGCTGGAGTGCAGTGGTGAGATGATAGCTCACTATAACCTCCAATATCTGGGCTCAAACGATTCTCCTGCCTCAGCCTCCCAAGCAGCTGAGACTACAGGCATGCACCATCATGTTTGGAAAACTCTGCCCCTACCGCAAAATCTCTCTCTCTTTCCCTCCCCCACAAAGAGGCTCCCTTATCTCTCACTTTACATACCGGCCCTAGCCCTCCCGCCGCCCAGCTTCCCGCCCAGCAGTTCAAACTGACCAACAGTTGCCCACCACCTCGGCTTTTGGCTTCCCCACCCCCCAGCCCTTCAGCCCCCTATAAAACAACCCTGCCCCTCTGAGCGGCGCGGCCATTTTTCCTTTTCGTCCCGGCTGGCCTGCCCGGAGGCTCTTTCCTCTCAATAAAGCCTGAACTTAAGGAATTTCCTCTAGCCTGCGGTCCGGTTTTTTCCGAACGAGCTCAGTCTTCCCGCAGAGGGTAGGTCGGACAAATGGTGCCGGAAACCCGGGACGGGAGCTGAGGCCGTTGGCCCGGCCACGGCCCCCCTCCCCGACCTACCCAACACTGGCCCTGCCACCTCCACGTTCCGATTAAGGTAAGCCAAGTTTTTCTTGCTTTGCCTTCCCCCGCTTCCCGTCTCCTCTTCCTACGGCATGGTGCAGTTGCTCCCTCCAGCGTTCCGCACGGACTCCTTGCCTAGTCTCGGCCGAGCCAAGGTAGTCTTCCATTCCGGCTCCAGGAGCCTTCCGAGGGACAGCTGCCAGACGGGGGACGCCCCTCTGACTGCTTCCCTTTCCGTACTTAATTGTACTCCGGGGAATTTGCAACGAACGGGGACGCCTTTTCGTTGCATCTGCCCATCCGCGCCGGAGAGTCTGTAGCTGCGCCTGCCATGGGAAATTCGGAGTCCAAAATACCTCTGAGCACCCCCCTCGGGTGCTTGCTGCGAAATTTTACCAAATTGGGATATTCCCAAACCCTCAGAAAGAAAAAGCTTATTTTCCTGTCCCACGTGGCTTGGCCCCAATACAAACTCAGTAACCAGTCACATTGGCCCCCGACTGGCACTTTTGATTTCAACACCCTCCGAGATCTCGACGATTTTTGTCGCCGCGCGGGCAAGGACAATGAAATTCCTTACGTCCAGGCTTTTTGGGACCTCCGTACCCACCCCGACCTATGTTCTTCCTGCTCCACCTACCAAATCCTCTTATCTCGAACCCCCCGTAAATCTTCCTCCACTACCTCTCCCCCTCCCTACTCCTCACCGGAGGATCTGCCTGAACATCTGTCCTCTCCTGCCAATCTCAGCAACCAGTCGCCATCAACGGCACGCCCTTCCCCCACTCCCTCTGCACCTCCTACCTCAGAGGCCATGCCTCGCTCTCCCTCTACTCCCTCCGAGCCCCCTCCCTCAGAGGCCACACTTCCTCTTGCCTCTCCGGTGGCGGCCCACACCCGCTCTCACCAGCCAGCTATCCTGGCCCCACTCCGAGAACTAGCAGGCGCAGAAGGTTTAGTCAGGGTCCATGTTCCTTTCTCACTCCAAGACCTGTCCCAAATTGAGAAACGTTTAGGATCCTTCTCAGCCAACCCGTCCACCTATATTAAAGAATTCCAATACCTCACTCAAACATAAGAAGCCCTAGTCCGGTACACTCGACTAGATCTAGCCTCCCATTTTATCTCCCAATCAGCACCCGACATAAGAAAGAAACTAAAGAAAGCAGAAGAGGGGCCAGAGACTCCCATCCAAGACCTGGTAAAAATGGCCTTTAAAGTATTCAATGCCAGGGAAGATGCGGCTGAGGCTGCCCGCCAAACTCGCATGAAGCAGAAGGCTGCCCTCCAGACCCAAGCCCTAGTGGCGGCTCTAAGGCCGGCAGGGAACCAGAAGCCCAAGGCCGAAACCCATGCCCCTCCAGGGGCATGTTTCAAATGTGGAAAGGAAGGACACTGGTCCCGAGCCTGTCCACAACCATGGCCACCAACTAAGCCTTGCCCTATCTGTCGGCTCCCGGGACACTGGAAGTCAGACTGCCCCAGCTTCCCCAGGGTGCCGGTTCCTCAAAACAGACACACTGGCGTTACGCAGCCGGCGGTCACCCTCAGTAGGGAGGAGCCTGCTTGCCAGGAGCCGACCTCCGAGGGAGCTCCGTTCCCCAGTCTACTAGGGCTGCTAGATGACTAGCGGGGCCCTGGCTTTCCGACTCCGGTTACCCTCGCCGAGCCTAGGGTCACAAGACATGGGGGCTACCTACTCCGCACTTCCTTCTTATTCTGGCCATCTCACCCCTTCCCAGGTCTTAGTCATGGGAATCGATGGGACCCCGAGTATCCCCTATCAAACCCCACCACTCATGTGCTCATATAACTCCACTCCCTTCACCCACTCCTTTTTAGTAATCCCCACCTGCCCAGTTCCCCTTCTGGGGTGAGACATCCTTTCAAAGCTGAAGGCCGTCATAACCTTCCCCACCGCCAGCCCACACAGCCTTTTTCTCCTAGCCCTCAATACTCTGCCTCAGAACTCCAGACCCTCCAGTCTACCCCCGGGGTACAGTTCAAGGATGACTGGGCCTTCAAGCATAACCTCCTCATCCTCCCTGAAAAGCAAAGGTACCAGATAATCCAAGACATCCATAATTCACTCCACATTGGGCCTAAAGCCTTATACCAGTTCCTCAACCCACTTTTTCACCCCCACAGCTTCCTCAGTACCATATAGGAAGATCAGTCCTCATGTACTGTCTGCGTGAAAACTAATTCCCAGGGTTCCTGTCATCCCCGGCGCCAGCTTCATCAGCTACGCGGGTTCCTACCTGGCCAAGACTGGCAAATTGATTTCACCCATATGCCAAAGCACAAACAGTACCGGCATCTGCTAACCATTGTTGACACTTTTTCAGGCTGGATTGAAGCTTACCCCACAGCCTCTGAGTCTGCCGGGACAGTAGCCACTCATCTCATTCAAGACATCATCCCACGCTTTGGACTCCCAGCTACCATACAGTCAGACAACGGCCTAGCCTTTATCTCCAAAGTCACTAATGCCGTTTCTACCTCTCTAGGAATTCAGTAGAAGCTACATGCCGCCTACCATCCCCAGTCCTCTGGTAAGGTAGAACGGGCCAATGGCCTAATAAAGGAGCATCTGACCAAGCTCATGCTTGAGCTCCGCCAATCCTGGGTAACCTGACTTCCTATCGCCCTCACCAGAGTAAGAGCAAGCCCCCGGGGCCCATCACAGCTTAGCCCATTTGAGCTGCTGTATGGTTGCCCCTTCCTGCTTTCAACTCCCCCACCGCCAGAGACTACTCCTCTAGACAGCTACCTCCCCTACTTTACTCAGGATTAGGAGGAGGGGCACTAGTCCACTCTCACCTGGCTATAGCCCGACTGACCTCGCAATTCCAAGCAGCTATTAATGACTCTACTGAGTCTTTAGCATCACTCCAATGACAGATCACCTCAGTTGCCCAAGTTGCCTTGCAGAACCGAAGAGCCCTGGACCTGCTCACTGCTGAACGAGGAGGGACCTGTATCTTCCTACAAGAAGAGTGCTGTTACTACATCAATGAATCCGGCCTAGTAGAAACCCGAATCGAGAGCCTCCAGAAACTCAAAACTAACCTGTAGAGTCAGAAGTTCTCGGCTGAAGCCACAGCGTGGTGGTCTTCCTCTATGTATACCCTCTTGTCACCATTGCTTGGGCCCCTAATAGCTGTTTGCCTAATCTTACTTATTGCTCCTTGCTTTCTCCAGTTCCTACAGCGGCTCTTTCAAGAACTGACTGGAGTCACCATCCACCAGATGCTGCTCCAACCCCACCCTGAACGAGTGCAAGAAACAGACCTCTCCCCAAACCTCCAGGCTCCTTAGGAAAAGAAACCTCTTCAGAACCCCCCGTCGACCCTTGTCAGCAGGAAGTAGCCAGAGAGACAACCGACGCCCCTGACCCCCTCTTTTTCTTTTCTTTAAGGAGTCGGGAATGTTTGGAAAACTCTGCCCCTACCGCAAAATCTCTCTCTCTTTCCCTCCCCCACAAAGAGGCTCCCTTATCTCTCACTTTACATACCGGCCCTAGCCCTCCCGCCGCCCAGCTTCCCGCCCAGCAGTTCAAACTGACCAACAGTTGCCCACCACCTCGGCTTTTGGCTTCCCCACCCCCCAGCCCTTCAGCCCCCTATAAAACAACCCTGCCCCTCTGAGCGGCGCGGCCATTTTTCCTTTTCGTCCCGGCTGGCCTGCCCGGAGGCTCTTTCCTCTCAATAAAGCCTGAACTTAAGGAATTTCCTCTAGCCTGCGGTCCGGTTTTTTCCGAACGAGCTCAGTCTTCCCGCAGAGGGTAGGTCGGACACATCATGCCCAAGTGATTATTTAAATTTTCTGTAGAGACAGGGTCTGGCTGTGTTGCCCAGGTTGGCCTCAAATGCCTGGCCTCAAGCGATCATCCCGCCTTCACTCCGAAAGCACTAGGATTACAGGTGTGAGCCACCAAACTGGGTCTGTATGTTTCCTTAAGAACATTACGCAGGTGATTCTGATGCACATCCCTTTTCTTCCCTGGATGATACCTCCCAAATAAATAAATTGGGGGCAGGATGGTGGAAAGGAGATGGATTTAAAAACTATGAAAGAGACAGAACCATAGGGTTGAATGAGGTTGAATCTAGGGGCTAAGGAAGGAGATAATAGAATCTAGTGATGACTTTGGTAACTGATGAATAATGGAACCAAATGGGGATAACAGGTGGAGATGCTACTCTCAGGGGAAGATAGTGAGTTGATATGTGAACATGTCATTGTGATGTGTCCATGGAACATATCACAAAGGTGTTTACAAAGGTGGAGTCACTTTATAAACTATTGAGACTATGGGCCAGGCATGGTGGCTTACTCCTGTAATCCCACCACTTTGGTACATGAGGTGGAAGGATGACTTGAGGCCTGGAGTTTGAGACTAACCTGGGCAATATAGTGAGACCTTGTCTCTAAAAAAATGTTTTTTTAATTTGTCCCGGTGCGGTGACTCATGCCTGTAATCCTAGCACTTTGAGAGGCTGAGGCAGGTGCATCAGGAGGTCAGGAGATCGAGGCCATCCTGGTTAACATGGTGAAACCATGTCTCTACTAAAAACACAAAAAATTAGCTGGGCGTGGTGGCGCGAGCCTTGTAGTCCCAGCTGCTCCGGAGGCTAAGGCAGGAGATTCACTTGAACCCAGGAGGAGGAGGTTGCAGTGAGGCAAGATTGCGCCACTGCACCCCAGCCTGGGAGAGAATGAGACTCCATCTCAAAAAAATTAAAAAAAAATTAGTCCCAATGTGGTGATGTGTGTTGGTATTCCCAACTACTCATGAGGCTAAGGTAGGAGGATCCTTTGAGCCCAGGAATTCCAGGCTGCAGTGAGCTATAATCATGCCATTGCCCAGCCTGGGCGACAGTGCCAGAACCAGTCTCAATAAATAAATAGACAAATACATAAATAAGTAAGAATAAACTGTGACCCTAAGGTTCATAGCAGGGTCAGGGCAAAATTCTGTTGGAAGTTCAGTAATCAAAGCCATGGCTAATGAATTCGCCCACAAAAAGGTCTTTTGAGTGGAACTGAAAAAACATTAGGGATGAAAATCCTATGAAACTTGTACCTTTAAGGAGTTGGCAGAAGGGAAAGAGACTTGAGACTTGGCCAGAGGAGAACAAGGAGAGAGACTGGTGTCTTGAGAGTATATGAAAGGAAAATAAGCTTGGGACCCCAGTTCACTCTGCCAAAATTAAAAAATTAAGCTGAAAGCTAAGTCATACAAGAAACTGACTTGCTTTTGTTCCTAAGCATATACCTACAGATAAAATGTTAACTATTTCCACAGGTAGCTACTCTATATTCACCTTATCATATGTAAAGTGCCCATTTACTGAGCATGAGACGAATATGTAATTGACCATTCCCTCCCTGCTCCTTTTCTTTTGCAACGTGTGGATTACCATACCCTCCCTCTGTCCCCTCTAGGGTGTCCTTAACCTTGGCAAAATAAACTAAATTGATTGAGACCTGTCTCTGATACTTGTTGGTTTATAAGAGAAAGGAAACAGCTTCTATATGTGCCTCTAGGGAATGAGCAGTTAAATAAATAAATAAATAAATAAAAAGCGGGGGATGGAGGGGGAAGGAAACAGCTTCCAGAAGGGTGTAACAGTGAAGAATTATCCCAAAAGGTCAAGATGGGGACTGAGACTGGGCACGGTGGTTCATGCCTGTAATCTCAGCACTTTGGGAGGCTGAGGTTGGTGGATCACGAGGTCAGAAGTTTGAGACCAGCCTCCTGACAAACATGATGAAAGCCCATCTCTAAAAAAAAAAAAAAAAAAAAAAAAAGATAGGGACTGAATCCCTTGGATTTGGTCATTTATTTATTTATTTTTGAGACAGATTCCACTCTGTTGCCCAGGCTGGAGTACAGTGGCACAATCTTGGCTCACTGCAGCCTCTGCCTTCCAGGCTCAAGCAATTCTCATGCCTCAGCCTCCTGAGCTGCTGAGAGTACAGGCCTTTGCCATCACGCCCAGCCAATTTTTTTTTTTTTTTTTGTATTTAGTAGAGACATGGTTTTGCCATGTTGGCCAGGCCTGTCTTGAATTCCCAGCTTCAGGTGATCCATCAACCTGAGTCTCCCAAAGTGCTGGGATTACAGGCGCGAACCACCATGCTTGGCCTGAAGGCCATTTTAACCTCCATATGAATAGTTTCAGGTAGGGGCCATGGTGATGGAAATCAGACTGCATTGGTTAATGAGGTGGGAAGAAAGGACACCAATTAAAGAACAATGAGATAAAGAAGTAGGCGATATTTTTTTTCTTTTAAGATTGAAGCAACCTTATAATCGCCAGAAGGGTTTGTCCTGCTTGCTGCACAGACAAAACCAATTCACTGGACAGCATTGCAGTAGAGAGTTTGATTGGCACAAAGCCAGCCCGTGAGGCTCAACTAAAGCTAACACTCAAATCAGTTTCCCTGAAGGCTCAGAGGTTAGAATTTTTATGGACAATTTGTTGGGCAGGAGACTAGGGAATGAGTGCTACTGATTGGTTGAGGATAAGATTATAGGGATGTGGAAAACAATCCTCCTGCACTGAGTCCAGCTCTCATGGACCAAAGGATCAGTTGAGTCATGAGTCATGAGTCTAGGTGGGGTCAGTCTGAAGAAAATCTTTAAAAACCAATCTTAGGTTTTACATGATGATGTTATCTATGGAAGTCACAAATCTTGTGATCTCTGGTCACATGATTCCTGGGCAGTAAGAGATTATAGAAACTACTCCTATATTTTAGCAGAACTCAAGTCCCTCCCATAATCCTATTTTTGCAGCCTTCATGCCTGTAATCCTAGCATTTTCGGAGGCTGAGGTAGGTGGATCACCTGAGGTCAGGAGTTCAAGACCAGCCTTGCCAATATGGTGAAACACCATCTACTAAAAATAAAAAAATTTTCTGGGCATGGTAGCATGCACCTGTATTCCCAGCTACTTAAGAAGCTGAGGCAGGAGAATCGCTTGAACCTGGGAGGCAGAGGTTGAAGTGAGCTGAGATTGCACCACTGCACTGCAGCCTGGGCAACAGAGCAAGACTCTGTCTTAAAAAAAAAAACTGTCTTGCTAGGCTGGGCATGGTGGCTCATGCCTGTAATCCTAGCACTTTGGGAGGCCCAGGTGGGTGGATCACAAGGTCAAGAGATGGAGACCATCCTGGTCAACACAGTGAAACCCTGTCTCTACTAAAAATACAAAAAATTAGCTGGGCACGGTGGTGCGTGCCTGTAATCCCAGCTCCTCAGGAGGCTGAGGCAGGAGAATTGCCTGAACCCAGGAGGCGGAGGTTGCGGTGAGCCAAGATCCCACCATTGCACTCCAGCCTGGGGGTAACAAGAGCGAAACTCTGTCTCAAAAAAACAAACAAACAAAACAAACAAAAAAACTGCCTTGCTAAGGCTGGTTTTGGTCCCTGAGCAAGGAGGGTGTTAGTTTTAGGGAGGGACTGTTATCATCCTTGCTTTCAAGTTAAATTATAAACTAGATTCTTCCCAAGGTTAGCTTGGCCTATGCACAGAAATGACCAAGGACAACTTGGAGGTCAGAAGCAAGATGGAATCAACTATGTCAGATTTCTCTTACTGTCATAATTTTGCAAAGCCAATTTTAATGTCAAAATATTTATAAGTTGGGCTGGGCATGGTGGTTCACCCCTGTAATCCCAGCACTTGGGGAGACTGAGGTGGGTGGATCATCTGAGGTCAGGAATTCAAGACCAGGCTGGCCAACATGGCAAAACCCCGTCTCTACTAAAAATACAAAAAATTAGCCAGGTATGGTGGCAGTTGCCTGTAATCCCAGCTGCTTGGGAGGCTGAGGTGGGAGAACTGCTTGAATCTGGGAGTTGGAGGTTGCTGTGAGCTGAGGTTGAGCCCCTGTACTACAGCCTGGATGACAGAGTGAGACTCTGTCTCAAAAAAAACCCAAAAATTCTAAGTTGAGGAGAAGGAGCCAATAAACATAAAAGCTGTAGTTATTCTACTAATATTACAATTTTCAGCTTATTGTAGTGAGCTGTTATCAGGTACTGCACTCCAGCCTGGGCGACTGAGCAAGATCTTGTCTCAAAAAAAAAAAAGGGGAGGATTGGAGGGTGGGTTATAGAAAAAAAGGAAATTATAAACAGACACGATATGGATTGTTTTTTCTTCTCGTTTTATCTCAGCCCCTGGATTGTGTTTTAATAGCTTTATTGACCATAAAACTCACCCATTTAGAGTTTACAATTTAATAGTGCTTAATATATTGAAAGAGTTCATAAGGACAATTTTAAAACATTTTCATCACCTTAAAAAGAAACCCCACAGACATTAGCAGCCACTCTTTATTACTCCCCAAATCCCCATGCCTGGGCAACCATAAATTTACTTTTTGACTCTATAGACTTACCTATCATTGGCATTTCATATAAGTAGACTTTTGCAATATATGCTCTTTCGCGTCTGGCTTTTTTCAGTTAGCATAATGTTTTTAAGTTTCATCCATGTTGTAGCATGAATGGTACTTTGTTTCTTCTTATGGCCAAACCATATTTTATCATACCAAGTGGTCTATATCCATTAACCAGTTGATGAACATCTGAATTATTTCTTTTTGGAATTTGGGTTATTTCTTTTTTTTTTTTTTTAGCTATTATAAATAATGCTGCTATAGGCTGGGCCTGGTGGCTCACGCCTGCAATCCCAGCACTCAGGGAGGCTGTGGCAGGCAGATCGCGAGGTCAAAAGCCCAGCCTGGCCAATATGATGAAACCCTGTTTCTACTAAAAATACAAAAAATTAGCTGGGTGTGTTGATGCATACCTGTAGTCCCAGCTACTCAGGAGACTGAGATGGGAGAATCGCTTAAACTTGGGAGGTGGAGGTTGCAGTGAGCTGAGATCACACACACTGTACTCCAGCCTGGGTGACGGTGAGACTCCGTCTCAAAAAAAAAAAAAATAATAATAATAATAATAATGCTGCCGTAAATGTTGGCATATACTTTTTTTTTTTTTTTTTTTTTTGAGACAGAGTTTTGCTCTGTCACCCAGGCTGGAGTGCAGTGGTGCAGTCTTGGCTCACTGCAACCTCCACCTCCCTGGTTCAAGTGATCCACCCACTTTAGCCTCCTGAGCAGCTGGGATTACACCCTTCTACCATGCCTAATTTTGCCATTTTCCCTAGAGATGGGGTTCACCATTTTGGCCAGGCTACTCTCAAGCTCCTGACCTCAGGTGATCTACTGGCCTCGACCTCCCAAAATGCTGGGATTACAGGCGTGACCCACTACAACTGGGCCTCATACAAATTTTTGTGTGGACATATGTTTTTATTTCTCTTGGGTATATATAGGAGTGGAATTGCTGGGTCATATGGGAACTTTTTGTTTGGCTTTCTGAGAAACTGTTTTCCAACACAGCTATACTGTCCGACCTACCCTCTGCGGGAAGACTGAGCTCGTTCGGAAAAAACCGGACCGCAGGCTAGAGGAAATTCCTTAAGTTCAGGCTTTATTGAGAGGAAAGAGCCTCCGGGCGGACCAGCCGGGACGAAAAGGAAAAATGGCCGCGCCGCTCAGAGGAGCAGGGTTGTTTTATAGGGGGCTGAAGGGCTGGGGGGTGGGGAAGCCAAAAGCCGAGGTGGTGGGCAACTGTTGGTCAGTTTGAACTGCTGGGCGGGAAGCTGGGCGGAGGGAGGGCTAGGGCCGGTATGTAAAGTGAGAGATAAGGGAGCCTCTTTGTGGGGGAGGGAAAGAGAGATAGATTTTGCGGTAGGGGCAGAGTTTTCCAAACATTCCCGACTCCTTAAAGAAAAGAAAAAGAGGGGGTCAGGGGCGTCGGTTGTCTCTCTAGCTACTTCCTGCTGACAAGGGTCGATGGGGGTTCTGAAGAGGTCTCTTTTCTTAACGAGCCTGGATGTTCGGGGAGAGGTCTGTTTCTTGCACTCGTTCAGGGTAGGGTTGGAGCAGCATCTGGTGGATGGTGACTCGAGTCAGTTCTTGAAAGCGCCGCTATAGGAACTGTAGAAAGCAAGGAGCAATAAGTAAGATTAGGCAAACAGCTATTAGGGGCCCAAGCAATGGTGACAAGAGGGTATACATAGAGGAAGACCACCACGCCGTGGCTTCAGCCGAGAACTTCTGACTCTGCAGGTTAGTTTTGAGTTTCTGGAGGCTCTCGATTCGGGTTTCTACTAGGCCGGATTCATTGATGTAGTAACAGCACTCTTCCTGTAGGAAGATACAGGTCCCTCCTCATTCAGCAGTGAGCAGGTCCAGGGCTCTTCGGTTCTGCAAGGCAACTTGGGCAACTGAGGTGATCTGTCGTTGGAGTGATGCTAAAGACTCAGTAGAGTCATCAATAGCCGCTTGGAGTTGTGAGGTCAGTCGGGCTATGGCCAGGTGAGAGTGGACTAGTGCCCCTCCTCCTAATCCTGAGTAAAGTAGGGGAGGTAGCTGTCTAGAGGAGTAGTCTCTGGCGGTGGGGGAGTTGAAAGCAGGAAGGGGCAACCATACAGCAGCTCAAATGGGCTAAGCTGTGATGGGCCCCGGGGGCTTGCTCTTACTCTGGTGAGGGCGATAGGAAGTCAGGTTACCCAGGATTGGCGGAGCTCAAGCATGAGCTTGGTCAGATGCTCCTTTATTAGGCCATTGGCCTGTTCTACCTTACCAGAGGACTGGGGATGGTAGGCGGCATGTAGCTTCTACTGAATTCCTAGAGAGGTAGAAACGGCATTAGTGACTTTGGAGATAAAGGCTAGGCCGTTGTCTGACTGTATGGTAGCTGGGAGTCCAAAGCGTGGGATGATGTCTTGAATGAGATGAGTGGCTACTGTCCCGGCAGACTCAGAGGCTGTGGGGTAAGCTTCAATCCAGCCTGAAAAAGTGTCAACAATGGTTAGCAGATGCCGGTACTGTTTGTGCTTTGGCATATGGGTGAAATCAATTTGCCAGTCTTGGCCAGGTAGGAACCTGCGTAGCTGATGAAGCTGGCGCCGGGGATGACAGGAACTCTGGGAATTAGTTTTCACGCAGACAGTACATGAGGACTGGACTTCCTTTGCTTTTCAGGGAGGATGAGGAGGTTATGCTTGAAGGCCCAGTCATCCTTGAACTGTACCCCGGGGGTAGACTGGAGGGTCTGGAGTTCTGAGGCAGAGTATTGAGGGCTAGGAGAAAAAGGCTGTGTGGCCTGGCGGTGGGGAAGGTTATGACGGCCTTCAGCTTTGAAAGGATGTCTCACCCCAGAAGGGGAACTGGGCAGGTGGGGATTACTAAAAAGGAGTGGGTGAAGGGAGTGGAGTTATATGAGCACATGAGTGGTGGGGTTTGATAGGGGATACTCGGGGTCCCATCGATTCCCATGACTAAGACCTGGGAAGGGGTGAGATGGCCAGAATAAGAAGGAAGTGCGGAGTAGGTAGCCCCCATGTCTTGTGACCCTAGGCTCGGCGAGGGTAACCGGAGTCGGAAAGCCAGGGCCCCGCTAGTCATCTAGCAGCCCTAGTAGACTGGGGAACGGAGCTCCCTCGGAGGTCGGCTCCTGGCAAGCAGGCTCCTCCCTACTGAGGGTGACCGCCGGCTGCGTAACGCCAGTGTGTCTGTTTTGAGGAACCGGCACCCTGGGGAAGCTGGGGCAGTCTGACTTCCAGTGTCCCGGGAGCCGACAGACAGGGCAAGGCTTAGTTGGTGGCCGTGGTTGTGGACAGGCTCGGGACCAGTGTCCTTCCTTTCCACATTTGAAACATGCCCCTGGAGGGGCATGGGTTTCGGCCTTGGGCTTCTGGTTCCCTGCCGGCCTTAGAGCCGCCACTAGGGCTTGGGTCTGGAGGGCAGCCTTCTGCTTCATGTGAGTTTGGCGGGCAGCCTCAGCCGCATCTTCCCTGGCATTGAATACTTTAAAGGCCATTTTTACCAGGTCTTGGATGGGAGTCTCTGGCCCCTCTTCTGCTTTCTTTAGTTTCTTTCTTATGTCGGGTGCTGATTGGGAGATAAAATGGGAGGCTAATACAGTGGCCCCATTTTGGGAGGCTGGATCTAGTCGAGTATACCAGACTAGGGCTTCTTATGCTTGAGTGAGGTATTGGAATTCTTTAATATATGTGGACGGGTTGGCTGAGAAGGATCCTAAACGTGTCTCAATTTGGGACAGGTCTTGGAGTGAGAAAGGAACATGGACCCTGATTAAACCTTCAGCGCCTGCCACTTCTCGGAGTGGGGCCAGGATAGCTGGCTGGTGGGAGCGGGTGTGGGCCGCCACCGGAGAGGCAAGAGGAAGTGCAGCCTCTGAGGGAGGGGGCTCGGAGGGAGTAGAGGGAGAGCGAGGCATGGCCTCTGAGGTAGGAGGTGCAGAGGGAGTGGGGGAAGGGCGTGCCGTTGATGGCGACTGGTTGCTGAGATTGGCAGGAGAGGACAGATGTTCAGGCAGATCCTCCGGTGAGGAGTAGGGAGGGGGAGAGGTAGTGGAGGAAGATTTACGGGGGGTTCGAGATAAGAGGATTTGGTAGGTGGAGCAGGAAGAACATAGGTTGGGGTGGGTACGGAGGTCCCAAAAAGCCTGGACGTAAGGAATTTCATTGTCCTTGCCCATGCGGCGACAAAAATCGTCGAGATCTCGGAGGGTGTTGAAATCAAAAGTGCCAGTCGGGGGCCAATGTGACTGGTTACTGAGTTTGTATTGGGGCCAAGCCACGTGGGACAGGAAAATAAGCTTTTTCTTTCTGAGGGTTTGGGAATATCCCAATTTGGTAAAATTTCGCAGCAAGCACCCGAGGGGGGTGCTCAGAGGTATTTTGGACTCCGAATTTCCCATGGCAGGCGCAGCTACAGACTCTCCGGCGCGGATGGGCAGATGCAACGAAAAGGCGTCCCCGTTCGTTGCAAATTCCCCGGAGTACAATTAAGTACGGAAAGGGAAGCGGTCAGAGGGGCGTCCCCCGTCTGGCGGCTGTCCCTCGGAAGGCTCCTGGAGCGGGAATGGAAGACTACCTTGGCTCGGCCGAGACTAGGCAAGGAGTCCGTGCGGAACGCCGGAGAGGGAGCAACTGCACCATGCCGTAGGAAGAGGAGACGGGAAGCGGGGGAAGGCAAAGCAAGAAAAACTTGGCTTACCTTAATCGGAACGTGGAGGTGGCAGGGCCAGTGTTGGGTAGGTCGGGGAGGGGGGCCGTGGCCGGGCCAACGGCCTCAGCTCCCGTCCCGGGTTTCCGGCACCATTTGTCCGACCTACCCTCTGCGGGAAGACTGAGCTCGTTCGGAAAAAACCGGACCGCAGGCTAGAGGAAATTCCTTAAGTTCAGGCTTTATTGAGAGGAAAGAGCCTCCGGGCGGACCAGCCGGGACGAAAAGGAAAAATGGCCGCGCCGCTCAGAGGAGCAGGGTTGTTTTATAGGGGGCTGAAGGGCTGGGGGGTGGGGAAGCCAAAAGCCGAGGTGGTGGGCAACTGTTGGTCAGTTTGAACTGCTGGGCGGGAAGCTGGGCGGAGGGAGGGCTAGGGCCGGTATGTAAAGTGAGAGATAAGGGAGCCTCTTTGTGGGGGAGGGAAAGAGAGAGAGATTTTGCGGTAGGGGCAGAGTTTTCCAAACATATACCATTTTACATTCCTGCCAGCAATGTAGGAGTGTTCCCATTTCTCCCCTCCTCACCAGCATTTTTTATTATCAGTCTATTTGTCTTTTGTAGATTTTTTTTCTGTAGCCCAGGCTGGAGTGCAGTGGCGGGATCTTGGCTCACTGCAACCTCCGCTTTCCAGGTTTAAGTGATTCTTCTGCCTCAGCCTCCTGAGTAGCTGGGATTACAGACACCCGCCACTATGCCCAGCTAATTTTTTGTATTTTTAGTAGACACAGGGTTTCACCATGTTGGCTGGGCTGGTCTCAAACTCCTGATCTCGTTATTTGCCCGCCTCAGCCTCCCAAAGTGCTGAGATTATAGGTGTGAGCCACCTCGCCTGGCCATGTCTATTTGTCTTTTTGTTTGTTTGTTTTTGAGATGGGGTCTGGCTCTGTCTCCCAGGCTGGAGTACAGTGGTGCGATCTCGGCTCACTGCAACCTCTACCTCCCGGGTTCAAGCGATTATCCTGACTCAGCCTCCTGAGTAGCTGGGACTGCAGACGTACCCTGCCGTGCCTAGCTAATTTTTTGTATTTTTAGTAGGGACAGGGTTTCACCTTGTTGGCCAGGATGATCTTGATCTCCTGGCCTCATGATCTGCCCACCTCAGCCTCCCAAAGTGCTGGGATTAAAAGTGTGAGCCACTGTGCCTGGCCCAGTCTATTTGTTTATAGTCATCTTAGTTAGTGGATGTGAAATGGTATCTCATTGTGCTTTTGCTTCACATTTTTCTAATGACTAGCGATGTCATCTTAAAAAATGTTTTTGTTTTGTAGAGGTGAGGTCTTCCTACATTGACAAAACTGGTCTCGAATTCCTGACCTGAAGTAATTCTCCTGCCTCTGCCTCCCAAAGTGATGGGATTACAGGTGTTGAGCTACCATGCCTGCCTTTTTTTTTTTTTTTTAACTCAGCTCTCATAATCATGCTTTTTTTTAATTTTTAATTTTTTTTGAGACAGAGTTTTGCTCTCTCGCCTAGGCTGGAGTGCAGTGGCATGATCTCAGCTCACTGCAACCTTCGCCTCCCAGGTTCAAGTGATTCTCCTGCCTCAGCTTCCTGAGGAGCTGGGATTACAGGTGAGCACCACCACACCCGGCTAATTTTTGTATTTTTAGTAGAGATGGGGTTTCACCATGTTGGCCAGGCTGGTCTCAAACTCCTGGGCTCAGGTGATCCACCTGCCTCAGCTTCCCAAAGTGTTGGGATTACAGGCGTGAGCCCCGTGCCTGGCCAGTAACTGTTATTACATGCATTTGTCTTTTCTTTCTAAGTGAAAGAAACGCGTTCCTCACTTGAGCCCTTATTTACTAAGCTGTCAGTCATTAATTCCAAGACCATATTTGTTTGCTTTCACATTTTAACATCTTGTAAATTAAAATGGTCTCTTAAATTCAACAAAATTTTAGAATTACGTTCATCAAAGGTACAATTATAGCTAGTCATTTTCTAAAACTATTTTATTTTTTTGAGATGGAGTTTTACTCTTACTGCCCAGGCTGGAGTGCTATGGCTGATCTCAGCTCACCACAATCTCTGCCTCCTCAGTTCAACTGATTCTCTTGCATCAGCCTCTGAGTAGCTGGGACTACAGGCATGTGCCACCACGCCTGGGTAATTTTTTGTAGTTTTAGGAGAGATGGGGTTTCTCCATGTTGGTCAGGCTGGTCTCGAATTCCCAACCTCAGGTAATCCACCGGCCTCAGCCTCCCAAAGCGCTGGGATTATAGGCGTGAGCCACCTCACCCAGCCCTTCTAATTCTTTTTTGAGATCTGCTTTTCTTCACTTAATAATGACTAGGAAGTTTGTGATTTCCCTGCCCTATTCTGGACCCTGGTTAGGTGAGTTAGGGCCAACCATCCCAGGCTGTGTTAGTTACAGGGCCATCATAGAACCTGTTATATGACAGTTCTTTAACTCCCAGGACGTTCTCACAGGTTTTTAACCTAATGTCTAAATATTTTGTCCTCCACTGTAGCAAATGTGGTGGCCCCAGTCTTACTTTTTTTGGGGGGGGTTAAACATCATTAGGGTTGGCGCAGTGGCTCACGGCTGTAATCCCAGCACTTTGGGAAGCTGAGATGGGTGTATGACCTGAGGTCAGGAGTTCGAGACCAGCCTGGCCAACATGGTAAAACCCCATCTTGGCCAGGCGCGGTGGCTCATGCCTGTAATCCCAGCACTTTGGGAGGCCGAGGCGGGTGGATCACGAGGTCAAGAGATCAAGACATCTTGGTCAACATGGTGAAACCCCGTCTCTACTAAAAATACAAAAAATTAGCTGGGCATGGTGGCGCATGCCTGTAATCCCAGCTACTCAGGAGGCTGAGGCAGGAGAATTGCCTGAACCCAGGAGGCGGAGGTTGTGGTGAGCCGAGATCGTGCCATTGCACTCCAGCCTGGGTAACAAGAGTGAAACTCCGTCTTAAAAAAAAAAAAATCTCTACTAAAAATACAAAAATTAGCTAGGTGTGGTGGTACATGCCTATAATCCCAGCTGCTCAAGAGGCTGAGGCAGGAGAATTGCTTGATCCTGGGAGGCGGAGGTTGTAGTGAGCTGAAATCGAGACACTGCACCCCAGCCTGGGTGACAGACAGAGACACTGTCTCAAAAAAAAAAATTATCAGTTTGTAAGAGACCAAGCTGTTAGAAAATGAAGTTAAGTTCCCTGTGTCTGAGATTTCAGATCCTCGCTCCCCTCCTTTTCGCTGTTCAGTCACCTAGCAAACTGGGTTAGTGCAAGGGCAAAGTAACCACCCTTATTTTTCTTGATATTAAAGAGTCAGGCTCTGACCTATTTGTCCATGTAAATAATAACCAATCTATCATGTATCTTTGCTTTTTTTCTCTTCTTTTTTTTTTGAGACAGAGTTTTGCTCTTGTTGCCTAGGCTGGAGTGGCGCAATGTCTGCTCACCACAACCTCTGCCTCCTGGGTTCAAGTGATTCTCCTCCTTCAGCCTCCTGAGTAGCTGGGATTAGAGGGATGTGCCACCACAACTGGCTAATTTTGTATTTTTAGTAGAGACAGGGTTTCTCCATGTTGATCAGGCTGGTCTCGAACTCCCGACCCCAGGTGATCCTCCTGCTTCGGCCCCCCAAAGTTCTGGGATTACAGGCATGAGCCACTACACCCAGCCTCATGTATCTCATTATAATCAAATGTTGGTATACCTTGATAGTACCATATATATCTGTAAAAAAAGAAATATGTTTTTCATCTATGTCTCTAAATCTATTCATTTGCATACACATCCATCAGTTATCTGGAACCAATTTGATAGTGTTCCAAATTGTATTCTAAACTTTTCATTAGCTGGTATAATAATTGTAGTGAGCAAACACTAAAATTGCTAGTAATTCTACTAAAGTTTTATTTAAAGTTACAACACAACCTTCAAGCAGATACCATAATAGGATTGCATCAGCCACACGAAGCTGCACAATTAAGAGGTCCACCCTTGAATGACCTAGCTCAGAAAACTTTGTCTGGAAGTTTAGCATCAAAGGAACTGCTAGGCTGTACATGTAGCTGTGAGTTAAGACTGTGGCTTCAAGGCCACATAGAATTATTTACATTGGGATTGGGACCCTTTCTTGCAAATCAGCAAATCTTTTTAAACTTGTATGAATGGACTGGAAAATTAAATTTTCTAGTGGTAATAATATTATTACATAGCAACTCCATCCCAAAGGGATCATTGGCCATTTTCATTTATTTTTTTTTTTTTTGTGATGGAGTTTCGCTCTTGTCGCCCAAACCGGAGTGCAATGGTGCAATCTTCTGCCTCCCAAGTTCAAGTCATTCTCCTACCTCAGCCTCCCAAGTAGCTGGGGTTACAGGCATGCACTACCACACCCAGCTAATTTTGTATTTTTAGTAGAGACAGGGTTTCTCCATGTTGGTCAGGCTGGACTTGAACTCCTGACTTCAGGTGATCTGCCCACCTCAGCCTCCCAAAGTGCTGGGTTTACAGGTGTGAGCCACTGCCCAGCCTCATTGGCAGTTTGCAAACTTTTTTTTGTGTGTGTGAGACAGTGTTTCACTCTGTCGCGGAAGCTAGAGTGCAGTGGCACAATCTCAGCTCACTGCAACCTCTGCCTCCTGGGTTTGAGCGATTATTCTGCCTTAGCCTACTGAGTAGCTGGGACAGGAGCTTTCCACCACACTCAGCTATTTTTTTTGTTCTAGTAGAAACAGGATTTCACCATTTGGCCAGGCTGGTCTCAAACTTCTGACCTCATGATCTGCCCGCCTCGGCCTCCCAAAGTGTTAGGATTACAGGTGTGAGCTACTGCACCCGGCCCATTTTCAAACTTTAAAAGCATCAGGGCTGGGCACGGTGACTCATGCCTGTAATACCAGCAGTTTGAGAGGGTGAGGCGGATGGATCAACTGAGGTCAGGAGTTTGAGACCAGCCTGGCCAACATGGGGAAACTGAGTCTCTACTAAAAATACAAAAATTAGCCGGGTGTGGTGGCAGGCGCCTGTAATCCCAGCTACTCGGGAGGCTGAGGCAGGAAAATTGCTTGAACCCAGGAGGCGGAGGTTGTAGTAAGCCAAGATCGCGGCATTGCACTCCAGCCTGGGCCACAGAAGCAAAAATCCATCTTAAAAAAAAAAAAAGCATCAGAATATTTCTGTTTAAAATGTTTTTTTTTTTCTTAATTTTTAATTTTTTTGTTCTTTTTTGAGACGGGGTTTCACCATGTTGGTCAGACTAGTCTCCAACTCCTGACCTCAGGTGATCTGCCTGCCTTAGCCTCCCAAAATGCTGGAATTACAGGTGTGAGCCACCTTGCCCGCCATAAAATATATTTAAAAAAATCAATTGGAAATCAATTGGCAGCCTGTAAAATCAATACTAAGTCAGAAGTAAAAACAGCTGAGGCTTAGAAGACTATAGGTTCCGAATACAGTAAACTCTGCAATTGATAATAAGGCCAGAAATTGATGAGGCCAGAGAATATACTGGAGATGGTGCAGGCCATGAGGAGCTTCTCAAGCTGGGTTAGTCCACAGGAACTGACACCCTGTAAAATTTCTTTCAAGTTTCCTATTTCATCATAAAAATTGGTGCAACTCTTTTTTTTTTGAGATGGAGTCTTGCTTTGTTGCCCGGGCTGGAGTGCAGTGGTGCGATCTCAGCTCACTGTAAACTCCACCTCCCGGGTTCAAGCAGTTCTCTGCCTCAGCCTCCTGAGTAGCTGGGATTATAGGCACCTGCCCCACACCTGGCTAATTTTTGTATTTTTAGTAGAGATGGGGTTTCACCATTTTGGCCTGGCTTGTCTTTAACTCCTGACCTTGTGATCCACCCACCTAGGCCTCCTAAAGTGCTGGGAATTACAGGTGTGAGCCACAGCACCTGGCCAACTTTTTTTTTTTTTAGAGTCTTGCTCTGTCACCCAGGATGGAGTGCAGTGACACAATCTTGGCTCACTGCAACCTCTGCCTCCTGGGTTCAAGTGATTCTCCTTCCTCAGCCTCCCAAATAGCTGGGATTATAGGAGTGTGCCACCACACCTGGCTAATTTTGGATTTGGATTTTTAGTAGAGAATGGGTTTCACCATGTTGATCAGGCTGCTCTCGAACTCCTGACTTCAGGTCATCCACCACATCAGCCTCCCAAAGTTCTGGGATTA